GACTTCTTATCACAGTCAGCCCTCTTTTGGAGCTTTTCAAATGTTCTACTCGCAAAAAAATGTGCATTTTAGAGTGTTGAAGGCCTACTTCAGCCACAAAACAATAAAAGAACATTTTAGTTAGTCTTGTATAGCTTACCAGCATCTCTCGTAACACTACAACCAAGTTTAATATGTGTGGAATGCTTGTCAAAGCCAGACATCCCACATTCCCAAATATATGTTAGTGTTTGTTTGTTTATTGACATGGAGAGTAATCCTTGTTTGAAAGTGTTGGTGTGCTATGGAAATTTCTGCTACAACAAAATGGAAATTTATGCTGTAGCAGAGCATTTTTCTTTGTAAATGATGAAGCTTTGTCTCTTCGACATGCAGGGAGCAAAGTTTGAGACACTGTTTAGAGTGGAATGATGGTCTGAGGGGTTGGTATTAATAAAGTGCTGAAAAGAAACCCTGCTACAAACTGTTGCTTTTAAATCTGTGAACAGTAAGGTTTCCTCTCAGGGTCATGCGATGCAATTTTGAGTGGTGCCATTTTGCTCTTTATTCTGTTGATGGGTTTAAATGAGAAATGTTTAATCTAATAATGCACAGTACCTGGAAGAGAAGGAGGACCTTGAATTGAAGTGCTCCACTTTGGTGAAGGACTGCGAAATGTACAAGAACCGCATGAATACGGTCATGGTGCAGCTGGAAGAAGTGGAACGTGAGCGGGACCAGGTTGAGTACTAATGTTCCTACTGATGACTTTGGTTTAGTTCATTTCTTGTTTCTTTAAAGGGCTATCGGTATAGTATAGTTTTCTCGGTCCCACAGGCTTTCAAGTCTAGAGATGATGCTCAATACCTTGTGTCTCAATGTCTGATTGACAAAGACAAGTACCGCAAGCAAATACGTGAGTTGGAAGAGAAGAGCGATGAACTTCAAATAGAAATCGTACGCAAAGAAGCCAAGATAGTCAACCTGGAGTGCAAACTGAGACGGACGGCCAAAGAAAATGGTTTGGATCAGGTGAGAAATTATCCGTGTGATTGAAAAGTTGAGTGTTTTTCCCCTTTGAAACTAGGTAATGTATATGTAATTTATCACCATATCAGTTATTGGCTGATTGGCTGTCACCATTGAGCATTTTATTTTATCATGATGTTTTCCCCTCAGAGTCTGCCACGAGACATTACTCCACTAATTATAGCTCAGCACTTTGGGCAACCTGATGTAAATACAGGAGGACCTTCAGAGGACTCCGGAGAAGACACTGTTGATGATCAAGAGCCTAAGCTCCAACGCAGAAGTAACCTTAAGGGCAGAGTACGTACAAACTCGAAGCTATTTTTTTT